TAATATTTAGTTGTGATAAATTATCGAAGTACCGACAGTAGCGTTAGTAGCAGTAGTAATATAAAAGTAATAATAATAAGAATAAAAAGTTGAAGCTCTGATGACGTTTAATATGAAGGAATAGGAGTTTATGGCGGCCGCTGGCATCGTAATCCCCTGTGAGTTGCTTATTATACATTTATCAATTTAGGGTAATATTCTCTACAAAACATACGAGTAATTAATCAGTAAGATATCATCAGTGAGGCAGGACGTTGTGGATGGTGGGCGACTGATGGTGGTTGATGGTCAGTGTTATCGTCGTTGAATTATTTCCTTAACTGTACCCGTTATACCGTGATGGAAGCTTTTTGTCTATATATATTTTTGTTCCTTTTTTACTTGGGATTTTTTTTTTAATCTGTAGCGCTGGGAGTCACCTTATGCCATTTCCCCCATGTGTTGGTCTACCAGGTGTGTGTGTAATAATAATAATAATTAACGGTTTATTGAAAAAGTTCTGCAGCCCGGAGGCTGAAAATATACATTGGACAAAACTGATTTATTACATACAAGGACATGGGGTGTTGTATTATCTGGTTGTCAGGTGTGAAGCCGACCCACTGTTGTTCCCATGGTTGGCTGATTAGCACCTCCTAGTCAGAAGGTGGCGGTCGGTTCCCAGGGGTGCTTATCTCACTGGTGGGTCACGGCTCTCACTGGTACTGTCTAGTGTTGAATTCACTGGCTTAAACACTGTTCATCACTGTTCAACACTGATCCAACTTCTTTCCGAAACGAAATTGTCACTTGATTATGTTAATATCCCGGTGGTGAGGATGGGTCAGGGAGAGGGACTTGGGGAATGGGCCGAACATTGGCCAAGGGGGGCAGCTGCTCAGCAGGAGCAGGGCCTGAATAGGTCTCGACCCTACGGTGGTCAAGGATGTGTGTGTAATAATAATAATAATAATAATAAACGGTTTATTAATAGAGTTGCAGCCGGTGGCTGAAAATATACAAACTTACATGTGATTTAGACATAATGATATACGTTCAATACATTTACCGGGCTGTACAGTACATGAATCAGGAGCTGTTTATTATTTAAACAATAGATGGGATGGTGATATTCTTATATCTACCAGTGCGGGCTCTTTTGGGCTGAATTTTGTTGTAGTGGCGGACTGCGCGAGGTGGGCGGGGGGGGACTGAAGGTGGCGATGACGAGGGTGGTGCAGTAGGCCACTGCCAAACCCTGCTAGTGCGTGGTGGTGGAGTTTACTGAGGGATGGCATTTCCAGGGTGGAGAGAGCGTTGTTGTAGCCAGAGTAGTCTGCACCGAGCATGGTCCTGCAGGCCCTCTTCTGTACCTTCTCTAGCTGACGTTGTTGGGTAGAGTTGAGAGAAGACGACCAGGCTGGTGACGCTTACGTTAATCTGGGGAGAATAAATGCGTTGTAGATAGTCCTCGTGTGTGTGTGTGTGTGTGTGTGTGTGTGTGTGTGTGTGTGTGCGTGCGTGTGCGCGCGCGCTGTATATAAATAATTTCTTTCGTGTATATCAATATGTATACCTATCTGCACTGTGTGTATGTATGTGGTTCCTCGTATGGTGCGGTGGTGACGGTGTCCTCCCCGTGTGCATTACCATCATTACTAAAGCTGAGAGCCTGAGTGTATCTGTGTGCCTGGCTCTGAAAATCGCCTCGTGTAGGGAATGGAGGGCGAGTGATGACAGTGATTGATGTAACTTATGGTTAATATTTTTTATGGTGAAGAATCGAGCCCATAAACCATTGGATCTCGGGTGACAAGACAATTAACAGGTGTATCGAAAGTGCAAAATTATGTATCGATTAGTGTGTGTGTGTGTGTTAATGTACAAATATGTTTCGAACACAGGTGATGTTAATACCAATTGGAAATTCTTAAGTAATATCATTTTGTAACCAGAGAGAGAGAGAGAGAGAGAGAGAGAGAGAGAGAGAGAGAGAGAGAGAGAGATTACACAGTGTTGATGGATAGTGTAAGAGCTTACCTGCCTGTCTTCAGTGGCTTATAACACGAGACAGTCAGGTAGGGTAGACCGCCTGTATGGCGGGTCTGATCCAGATGATTTTGTTGACGGGTGGCATGGGACAGATAGTTGTTGACGGGTGGCATGGGACAGATAGTTGTTGACGGGTAGCATGGGATAGATAGTTGTTGACGGGTGGCATGGGACAGATAGTTGTTGAGGTTGGTTGACAAAAATTGTTATAAATTGGTTACAGAATTAATAATTAGTTATTTGGTGGTAATCTGTTAATTGTTTGGAATTAAGTTCAAAATTAAAAATATTTCCAAGTTCCTGTTGTAAGAGTGTTTTTCAAGGTGATGCTGTCTATTTCACGGAGTTTCGTCACACCATTGGGAAACACACGTTGTAAACCTCAAGGAAATGTTTGCATGTAGTCTGGGAAACATTATGTAAGGCCGCATGTTGTTGGTGCTGGGAAACGTTCTCACTGGATTTCATTGACGTTATTCATACAATATCTTGTTTAGAGGCGACCAAAATATTCATGTTTATGCAGTTGAATGTATTTTGAATATGATGAATAAGAGGAAGTTAATTCTTAGGAACAATTATAACATGGAGGCTGTGTGGTGGGGAGGGTGTACACAAGACTTGACGGAGGGTTATAGTTTAAGTTTTCATCTCCGGGTTGAAGATGGCATGTCAATAATGTGGTTGATGCTATTGACAGAGTGACATGATCAGCCCCCTCCATTTTTTTTACGTGGTGATAAAGCTCTTAATATTTTTTTTTTTTTTTACATACGCTTTAGTTTATGTCGTAATGCTGGTGATAATGCCGCAGTGTTCCTGTATTTTGCATCCGGGCACAAATTTCATGAATGTATATTTAACGTAATGCTGCTGCTAATCCCTCCCATTTAAATGCTATCGCGACTGTATTATCTCTGGCCTGAGAGAATTTTCCCGGAAATTACTTTTGGTCAATGATACGTTAACATAACTTACAGAGAACAGTAAAGATGAAGAGATAGAAGGATACGTGAGAGAAATTGTTTACTCTGTTTATTTCAAAGAATTTGATGTTGAAATTATTCCTTATCAAATTAGGCGTAGTGTAGAAGCGTTTACAGGGGCTCGTCAGATAAACATTGAGATATTTGTTTTAATATTGTTTTAATTTGATTCCATAGTATGGTTACTATTGCGAGTTTCCCTATGTCGAATGTAAATAAACACAGCGCTGCCACACTGCATAAAACCTGACGAGCCCCTGTAAACGTACTAGTGAAGGGGACTGCATGGTGACACACGGTATGAAGACCTCACACTGACTGTTGTTTACATTACTTTCTGACTGTGAATACCCACCATACCCTCACGACAGTTGACCTCTATGCAACACAGTAAGTCCCATTACACTGTAATGGGACTTACTGTGGAGTCGAAGACAAAACCTTCGACTCCGACTCCTCAAATTTTTATGCTTCCGACTCCGACTCCTTGGCCTATTTGTAACAACTATTTCTACCATCCTAATTGTAATTTGTATGTTGTAACCTGCGTAGGTAAAAAGTAAAACACCGTGGCTATACTGCTACAGCTTTATTAATGATCTGGACGATATTTAAGAACTACAAAAAGATGATAGGCTTGACTTTCAAAGTTTCAATCAAAAGAAAAATAAATTTATTAAGAATTCAAGATATTAACTAGAAAACACCATTTACATGTATATCTAAAAGTTCGATCTCAGCATATGAATTTTGTTTAAGCTCATAATCTGATGTGGATCTAAATGATGATCCTACAATTCCTTTTAAAGTAAAGTTATATATTTATGTACATTAAAGAAATGAATACCGTATTAAGGAAAATGGATAAACCTTACATGATTAAGTTATTAAATTAAATTTGCCTTAATCTCACCAAAAACAGGTTGTAGCTAATTGTTTTGTAGCTGAGAGCCTCTGTGCAGTTTTCAACGAAACAAAATTTGATATAATTCAAAATTTCAAATGGTAAAGAAGAGACTATCGTCCAAAATTATAGTGCTATACTCTGCCTGCTACAATAAATTCATAATAATGCTTATAAAATGGAAATAAATTCTTTTAATAATTTAAGAAAATTAGTGGGATCAGTGGAATCACTGCAATGAATATGCCTGAGTTCATATATTTGTTCTTAGGAACAGAATAGCTTCAGTCGGAGTCGGAGTCGGAGTCTGGACAATTTTACCGACTCCGACTCGTACTCCACAAGCCGAAATTTCCTCCGACTCCTCGACTCCGACTCCGACTCCACAGCCCTGCATTACAGAGTCAAAGATATGAAGAAAAAGATCACCTGACGTGTTTGTTGGAGATCAATAAGGAGATAGTTTTACATTAGATCTGTGGGGGCTTCAACCAATACTCTTAACACACACACCCCACCCGGGCCTCCTCCCTGCCACCCCCAAAAAAAAAAAACATAAACCTTTCCTCCCAGTTTCTGAATTATTGACATCTGCTGGTCGTGTTTTACAGGATACTACACCTGTTTGACACAACAGTATTAAACGAACAGTGTTAGTAGGTCAAGCGTGATGCTATCTTGCTGTCAGTTCCTCCCTCAGGGGAAGTGGTTCACTGTGGCAGTAGAGCAGTGTGATTTGTGTTGCTTTGGGAGAGAGAGAGAGAGAGAGAGAGAGAGAGAGAGAGAGAGAGAGAGAGAGATATCTTGGTCACGTAGTCTTGGGTGGTGGTGGAGGAACTTGATGGTTGTTTACAGTTTAATGAGGTAAACAAATATACGCCATTTACTTAAATGTGTAAAAAATTATGTGACGGTTCTGTACATCGGCCATGGACAATGTTTACATACTGAGGTTATACTGTACCTGTACCTACACAGTTGTTGGTTAGAGTCGATAACATTAATTTGATTATAGTTAAAAGAGTAAACCTGTATTTCATGAAGGTGGTGTACTAATTAGTTCGTTTCTTGACAGGTACGTCGATGGAGGTTCGCCCGACCTTATAGAGCTGGACCAGAATGGCAGGTGAGGGTATAATACAGTTGTTTTACAGCTAAGGTAATGTTACAATTAGTTATATGACAGGTGAGGTAATGTTAGTTAGTTGTATGACAGGTGAGGTAATGTTACAGTTAGTTATATGACAGGTGAGGTAATATTAGTTAGTTGTATGACAGGTGAGGTAATGTTACAGTTAGTTATATGACAGGTGAGGTAATATTAGTTAGTTACATGACAGGTGAGGTAATGTTACAGTTAGTTATATGACAGGTGAGGTAATGTTAGTTAGTTGTATGACAGGTGTATTAAGGCTCAGGTGTAGCAGTATGATAGTAACAATAATACACAGGTAAGTGATTTGTGGCGAGAGAGCCAACACCCATAATTGTGTAACAGGTGAAGTAACGTCCATAATTAGTGTAACAGATGAAGTAACATCCATAATTAGTGTGTAACAAGTGAGGTAACACCCATAATTAGTGTGTAACAGATGAAGTAACATCCATAATTGGTGTGTAACAGGTGAAATAACGCCCATAATTGTGTAACAGGTGAATTAACGTAACACCCATAGACAAGAGTTGTGTTGGGAAGGACTAAGTTTAGATCCTAAGATTAATTGAACGATAAGTTAGAGGTGACGCGTGAGTCGTGTTAACATAAGATTATATCCGCTAAATACCCAATGTGAGGAGTGAGGATGATAGGTGAGAAAGACATAGGTGAGAAGGGAGGAAGACACAGATGAGAAGAGAGGAAGAGGGAGGATGACAGGTGAGGAAGGTGGAGGACAGATGAGGAGGGAGAAAGATGCAGGTGAGAAGGGAGGAAGATACAGGTGAGAATGAAGGAAGACAGGTGAGAATGAAGGAAGACAGGTGAGCGCCAGAAGTGGGAGGTGGTGGTGTAGTAGTGAGCATAGGTGTTAGTAGCCGTACAGGTAGCCAGGTCGTACAGGTAGCCAGGCCGTACTGGTAGCCAGGCCGTACAGGTAGCCAGGCCGTACAGGTACCTAGGTCCTCTCCTGCCTATAGTAGCAGACTGTAGTGTTTTCTAAGTGTACTTATTAATGCCGGGAAGTAGTTTTATATGGATTACTGCTTGTTAGTGGACATACATTATGCATTTTGACTGGGGGGGGGGGAACTTTTTATCACGTCGGTAACAAAAATGGTTTACGTGTCTGGTTTATTTCTGTACGTTCGTGTTGATTTTTTTTACATCATTGGATGACTCACAGTTGATTTTATAATCGCTTGTATATGTCGAATGATCAACAGTCGTATACTTTGTGTGTGCGTGTGCGTGTGTGCGCGCGCGCGTGCGTCCTGAAGCACTTGTAACACGAGAGGACACATTCCAGGAAGCAGTATTAACGGTAGTTATATGTAGGTGCCGTGTAGTGTTGGGGGAGGTAATGATGACTGGTGTGATGTAAGATAAACGACGTAGCCCCTGAACCTCTAGCTAACGGAGTTGTGTTTATGATTAATGAAACATTCTTATTGATATTTTAGTTGTTAATATTTTTATTCACATGTAAAGTTTTTTGTAAATGTCTTTTAACTTCCGGAGGAGTTAAAAAAAGTAGATTATCCATTAAACCCAGTTTACTTTTTTTTTAAAGATAAATGTTCGTTTGAATATTAATAAGTAAAATAAATTGTGAAAAAAAAGAAATTACATTACTTAAAAATACTGGTCAGTAATCAGGGGTTCAGGGACTAGGTGTGGGTATTCGACGTGACACTGATGACCTAGTCTGACGTGTGGTGTGACTGACCTCTCCGTATAACAGTAAACGGAGAAAAAGAGGAGGAGGAGGAAGCGTTGCCGTCTCATAAAAAAAACTCGCTATACCAGTAGACGGTGCGGCGTCGTGACCCAGGGGAGCTGTACCTTCATCCTGTTTTTTACCCGCCTCGTAAAACACCACCACCGCTAGCACAGGGAGTGGGGGATTTACCATGATTTTATCGGTATAGGATATAAGGAAACATCAGGCTGTGTTTATCGCCCGTGATGGCGCTTAGTTTTATGGTAATAGTTGGTGTTGGAATCATCGTTATTGAAGGAAACTTAAAAAAAAAAGGGGGGCGCTGGGAAAATCTCACGACGCGGGAGGAGTTTACAACCTGAGAAGCGAAGGTCAAGGACTGTTTCGCCTGGATTTCATTTTGTTTCATTGAAGGTCTAGTTTCATCTTCATTATTCCTAGAGTGGACTTATAACAGGTCTGCCCAGCTCCTTGACGTGTTACCGGCCGACACATGCATGGATTATTATTATTATTACTACTTCCTTCCTTCCTTCCTTCCTTCCTTCCTTCCTTCCTTCCTTCCTTCGGTGGGGGGAGGGGTGAGTTAAACACTGTGTTGGCCAGGTAAGTTAGGGTTGGTGTTACCTTAAGTTTTAGTCAGGAGAGATTTGGGATAAGAGTTAGGCCAGGTGTGTTAGGTTACGCCTTAGTTAGGATACGTTAGGTTAACTGTAGGTAGGTAGTGTTAGGTTCTGATTCTTCCATATATATATATATATATATATATATATATATATATATATATATATATATATATATATATATATATATATATATATATATATATATATATATATATATATATATATAAAGTTAATTCGATAATGTGGTACGAATTTTAATGAGGAACTTTTCATAAATTAGAAGGAAAAAAACAAGTTTTCGCTTGAACAGATATGCTTGATGTGAATCATTGCTTGGAAAACTTAACCTAGACATTGGAATGTGCCGCTGTGTGAGTGATGACCCTCGTGGAGTGGCTGAGGGGCCGCACACAGGTGGCTCAAGAGTCGTCCTGGGGGGGAGGGGGAGCACTGGGCATCCTCCAGATAAGCTGTGGTTCAAGTGCCTCTTGGATTGTACTGTTACCGATACCAGACTGTACTGTGGTGATGGGGAGGAAGAGGTAACACGCGTGGTGGGGGAGGGGGAGGGGGAGTACACAGCTGTATGTGTGTCTACCTTCCTGTGATCTCTCCACTAAGCCCCAAACCAGCGAGTGACCCACACTCTCCCACTTCCCGTTTCCCCTTCCCCTTCCCCTCCCTTTCTACTCCCCTTCCTGCTTCCCCACTTTTCCTAGCCGTCTATCCCAACTTGAGTGTCTCGCCTCCCCTACACTAACCTAATCTTATCACCTTCCTCGACCCATTCCTCCTCCTCCTCTTCCCTTCCTAATTCGCCCCTCCCTCTCGCCACGTCCACCCCCCATCCACCCTCAGCAACACTTGTAATCAGACTTCCCCCTCTTTCCTCCCTCCCTCCTGCTCCTCAACAACAGCTGTGCTAGACCATTGCCCCTCACAACACCTGCCACGATGTTGTAAACATCTGTTCGTTTTCGAAAATATTGTATAATATATATATATATATATATATATATATATATATATATATATATATATATATATATATATATATATATATACAGTATATATATCGACTTCGGATTGAAAGCCGTCGAATTATTCTTGCTACATTTGAGAGGATATAAAATTGTAGATATAAGATAGAAAAGAGAGAGAGAGACCACTGAAAGACATGTAGTTATACGTATATTTATAGAGAGCTCAAGTTGCAACAATAAAGTGTCCTTTATACAGTAGGTGAGGGGGGATGAATGTGGAGAAGACGCAACCTGCCACACCCACCCTCACACGGGTGCTGTGAAGGTTTGTTTACGTCTGGGAACAGTTAGTGTCTTTGCCGATAGATGGCGGCGGAAGCGTCAAGTCTGCCTTGGCTTCGTCAACGAAAATGTTTATTTATTATGCTCCTTCCGGTGGTTTTAACTCAGTTGCTTGCTTTGTCGGGGGATGATTTGTGCCCTGATCACCTCATGGATCAGTAATTGATTTAATCCCTTAATTAGCAATTGCGGTATGAGGGTTAGTTTAGCTCTGTGTGGATTTAATCTCAGTAGCTGGGATGTTTGATGGCGGGGGTTGATGCATGTGGCAGCTTCACGCCTTAAACCTGGTCATTATTCTTGCTTCACTCTCCTCACGCGCTTTCATTTTTCTTGGCGTATCTTTTAAATAATTAAATTGCTGGGTGTACTCACTAAATATTGACGAGAAGGGCAAATTAATTTAGAAATCTTGACGTGAGTTATAGTGTAGTGTAACTGTGTTGTGTTGGCTGTTGTAGTCTTTTATTATGATTATTTTATCTTGTTATTTTTACTCTTTTTTGTCCTTACGGTTTCCATCACCATTACCGTCCGTTTTTACTCTTGTACTTCACCTCTTTTCCTTTTTCCTTTCCTTACTCCCTTCTTCCAATTCGTACCTGTATTCAAGTCCCTCTTCCTCCTCTCATCCCCCTCCATCTTCTTCCTTTCCTCCCTCCTTCCATTTATTCTTCACGTCCCCCTTCCATCTTCTTTTTCACCCTCCATCATCTTCTTTTCTTCCCCCCCTTTCATTTTCTTCCTTTCCTCCCCTTATCTTTCTTTCCTCCCACCCCCCTTACCTATTCCTTCCGTCCCTCTTTACCTCTACTTCATCCCGTCCCCCCTTACCTCTTCCTCCATCCTCCTCCCTCCTTACCTCTTTCTCCCTCCTCCCGTTCCTTCCTCCCTCCTCCTCCCGTCTCCTCCTCCCCCCCCTCCCTCTTCTTCCCCACATCGTTTTTACTACTCCAGGTATTATGCCACTTTTTTTTCCTTTTAGCTCCGACGGTCGCTGGCAATTAGACCTTTTTAATGGAAAGATTAATTTTTAGCCTTGTAAAATCCTCTCCGTATTGTCGCGTAATCCTGTTGGAAGTTTTGTTAGGTAGTTTATTATAAAGGTGGAGTGCAGTTGTCAGCGGGCGGGCGGGTGGGTGGGCGGGCGGGCGGGCGGGCGGGCGGGCGGGCGGTGGGCAGAGTGAGGGAGAGGGAGAGGTGGGAGAGGGTGGGGGATGGAGAAGGATATAAAGAGCAAGATAGAAATAAGTGGAAACGTGCGCCCTCCCCAACACTGATAATGATAAGGTAAAA